TTTGATCTTGTCTCTTGTTGGAACTACTTATTGCTTAGAGTAAGAGATTTAACTATCTTTTCTAAAATTAACTTGAACTGCGAGGGGCGAGTTATTAATAGGTTTTAAGTTGATAACCCTATGCCCTTTACTAATAGAAATTCTACCCTCCTTGTCTATTGCCTTTATAGTTCAAGTTTAGATGGTCTTTCTAACTTAGATTATAGGTATTGGAGTAGGAGTCATATTTCTTGGTCGACCACCAAATTACCAACTTCATTATCTTACTTATTAAGTCCCTCTTAGAGTGTTGGACATGTATTTGTGCCACGACACGATGCTTGAACAACTTAACAATTAATAAATTCCCCATAGCCATCTGTCTCATCGATGAAGTCAGATATGACGTTTGTTTCTCCGAGCTAGATACATTGATCTTATTGACCCTTTTTGATATATGATCCAATCTTATACCAAATTGTTGAGAATTTACTACCATATTAGAAAGCAAAGCTCTTACAACATTTGGGGTTTTATCAATCAAAGCTCCTCCATTAGCAGCATCAATTATATTCCTCTCTATTGGTAACAAAACCATCACAAAAGTGCACAATGAGGAGTTGATTAGAAATCCGATAATGTGGATAACATGCACACAATTTCTTAAGACATTTCGAGTACTCGATTTAACATCTCCCTATTGAAGTATTGAATACCACAAATTTCTTTTTTGATGCTAATAGTTTGTTATGCAAGGAAATATTTTAGTAGGATATCTTGTTTCATCTTATTCTAAGAATCAATTAAGCTTGTAAGAAGATTATATAACCAATCTTTTACATCCACATCTATGAGAATGGGAATGCATACAACTAGATTTGTTCTTCTAACACACCTTGTGACCTCATGGTTAAGCATACCACATTGAACTCCTTCGGATGTTTAGAGGGGTCTTCTCTAGTGATACCATAGAATTTGAGCAATAAATGTACCAATCCCGACATCAATTCAAAAATTACCTCCAAATTCGGGAACTCAATACATAAAGGTCTGCTAATTTGGATCGGGAGTAGCCAACTCCTATAATGTCCTTTTTGTAGCATGACTTCCTTTTCGGAATCACTAGAGGATAGAAACTCAAGAGCTATGTTTATGCCTTGCGAAGCAATAATTACTTTTTCGGATGTTTTAGTCCGTTCTATTAAAGCCTCGTTTAGCTTCTTTCCTTAATTTATTTTGTGCTACCAAAAATCAAGTCACTTGTATGAATAGACTTAGTCATACACTAACCTAATGTGGAAAATAAGAAACAATCGGAATATTAAGGCAAAAATAAATTTAAACATAATTCTTCGTCTAGTGCACCAAAATTTGGTAACGTGTCATACCATAACAAATTATTTATTGATTTTCCTTATTGGATCTAATCATCAAATTATAGCTAGGATAAGCAAGGGTCAATTCCATAGAGAATCGATTAAATCAATTTATCTATTGTCCGGTTATTTCAAAATAGAGCAAAAAGGGGGGTTTATTAGTTTAAAAGTAGGAAAGATAATTAAACGAGATAAATAAAGGTATTAAAATCCTTAATCAAAGGATTTGGTTCAATCGTTGATCATTGATTTAATTATTAATCCATTCTTTTCATGAATATTCACCATAGAACAACAACAAGCTATATTATCTCTAATCTATCCTTAGTAATTCATTCATTAAAATGAGTTATTTATTTAATCTTTAACTATCTAACAACCTTAAATGAGCTATCTAGATTTAATCTAATAATATCATTAAGCAACGGAAAGATAGGTGAAGTAAGCAATTCTCACACGAGCTATGAGAATTTAATCTAGCTCTATATTCTTCAAGGAATTAAATAAAAGCTTGGCCATAATCATGAATCTCTAGTTACTATTTACTACCATAAGTAAGATTAGATAAGCAATTATGGACTTGATTTCTTAACTTGTAATAGATTATATAGATTAATACAAGGTCGGGAAGATAGGTTGAGTCGATGGTAGTATTTAGCCAAACTAGGTTAGTCTAATGGGCAGCTACAAGGTTGGAATCCTAAGGCTTAGTGGATAGATTGAGTCGATGGTAGTATTTAGCCTATAACTAAAGCTATAAATCTCTAATTGATATAAGACTTAGTGAGTCAAAAAGTTACAAAATAGGTTTATAACTTTTGTGAGGGAACAAAATTCTAATTTGGCATGTATCAAGTCCATTTAATTTGATTACTCAAAAGAACCTAGACACAACTAAAATTAGAGGTTTCTATCCATGTATGATAAAACAACCAAAGACATATGATCGTGTGTCTTGCTCCGGGTTAGGTTATGGTCATGTGTCATAACACACATGGCTTTGTATCATAATCGACATGGTCATGGTCGTGTATATGTTTTTCCCTCCCATTATGTACTCTTTTATCTCCATATTTTGGTTTGAAAGGATTTCAAAATATGCCTTCATAATTTTCATTAATGAAAATATACAATAGTGATTCAATCAATTATTATTCAAACAATCTATAAACCTAATAAGAAGTCATAAAAAAGGTATGACTCCATCACCACATCTCATATGAACCTTAAACTTATGAAATTCACTCTTAGTCGATTATGGCCATATCCACACACATCATACACAATAATTTTCAAGCCATTTCACATCCATGTGTTCATAACCATACATACCTATCATATGCTTCACAACCTAAAGCATGAGGCAAATAATTAAAATATTCCTCTCTTGGTCGAATGTTTCATCCATTCCGCCAAACCTCAATCATTCACTCTATATAAGTCATCATATGTGTTTAAACCTAATCTTCAATGAAATTCATATGACTAGTCTTTAAGTTACCGAGGTTAATGACAGAATCTACTCCCTAATTAATCCAACCTAATTCTTTATTTCAATACATCTAACTTCAACTAACCAAGGTGAAAGTCATTAAATTCTATGGCTTAATAATCCAATTCAATAATCCCTCACATTTAGGATGTGGCTGAATGGCCCTATAAGAATAATCAAGTTGATTTTTTTCACAATTAACCTTAATTCAACCTCATTTGATCTCACTTAAATACCATTTAAGCTATAATACATAAACATACACATTTCACTCTAATTTTCATTTTTGTCGAATCTATCAAGCATTACTAGCCATTCAATTTCATCAATTTTCTCTTTTAGTTTCAAGCCAAAACATGATTTGCACATTTTATCAAACTCCTTAGTTGTATCAATTTGGTATAATACATTCGTTCCTTATTTTTTTTTAATCTTGGCCAAACGGTTCATCCTAATAAACCCATTCCTTAAGCTCTTTTTTCTCCCGTTCAATCACTCAACACATCAAACTAATTACCAATCATACAATTTCAATATAAACCCTAGTTACCCAGTTTACATTAAAACAATAACTAATCATTCAAAACATTAAACCCTTTATAGTGTAGATGAGATTACACTTATCCATTGTCATCATAATATTCAATCATTCATCAATTTCACAAATCAAACATCAATTAAACACAAATCATTCAACTGTAAAATTGAAATCCTAGGCTTTTAAGAACACAATTCCACCAATTCAACACATAATCATCCTAAGTCTTGTGGTGAGTTGATATTACACTTGCCTTAGGTTTGTTTGTTGGTGAAATCACCTTAAAACCTTTAAAATCACCCCTCTACTCATTGCTTAATATTTCAGCGCCCTCTCCTCTTTTTTTTTTTTTTTTTTTTCTTTTAACTAGGTTTGCTTCCTCTTGGCAAGTTTCAGCTCCTCCCTTAGTAAATTTCATTTCCGTCTTATTTCTCTCTTTAGATTTTGTCCCTCTTGCTCTCTTTCTCTCTAAGTATTCAAGCTTTCTCCCAAATGAAAGGATAGAGGCAAATGAAATGTTCAATAAACTAAGCCAAAAATTTCCTCCTTTTATTTCACTTACTTGGCCAAAATGTTTGCCCAAAATGCCCTTAATGAGCTACATGTCCCGAGGTGATATTTTATGCAAAGACATTTTAATTTAGGTCGAACACCTAACTAAGATATTATTTCTAAGATTAATACATGTTTAGGTCACTAATTAAAGTTTAACTTCTAAGTTATACATGCATGAGAATCATTTAATTAAATTATATTTACTAAGTCTTTCAATTATTAATTAATGCACTATTCACATAAAGCATAGAAATTAAATTCGGGTATTATAGACATGTTGTGATTTATCTATCTATACTAAGTAGAACATAATGAAAAGTATAAATACAACTAAGTCACTTCTATTGAATATATGACAATAGACTTTGATTCAAAATATTTCTTTTATTTTAATTTGGTATTATAGCCTTTTTTTTTCCAACACTATAATCAATAACCTCCGATAATTCTGCCAATGCTACAACTAACCAAAGTAAAAATTTCTATTGAAACTACTTTCTCCCAAAGTTTAACAAATCATGTCATTTTGTAGGAAGGGGTTGATTACACTAAAACTTTCAGTCAAGTTATTAAGGCTGCAATCATCCGTTATGTTCTCTCTTTAGCAATGACAAAATCATGGATTATTCATCAACTTGATGTTCACAATGCTTTTCTTCGTGGGATTCTAGATGAGATGGTTTTCATGGAACAATCATAGAGCTTTGTTTATGAATGTTATCCACAGCATACGTATAAGTTAAATCACTTTTTGTACAGTCTCAAAAAGTCTCTTCAGGTTTGGTTTGCTTATTTACATGATTTTCTTTTAGAATTTGATTTTTAGTCATCAAAAATCGATTGTCCCATTTTCTTTTACAACAAAAATGGACATCATGTATTCTTGTTAGTTTATGGGGATGACATCATTGTCATTAGGAATTTTGATTCCATAAACTTTTCAATCATCACGGCCCATAATTAGGAATTTGCCATTCATGACAATGAATTCATGATTTTGTTTCTCAAAATTAAAGTAATTCATGTTTCTAATAGTATGGTCTTATCTCAAAAAAAATATATGGGTGAAGTCTTGAAGAAAGTAGGTATGAAATCATGTTAGGTGGTTAGTAACCCTATGTCCATCACTTCAAAACTAGGTCCGTTGTTTGACACTTCTAGTGTGGATGCCACTTTGTACATACAAATTACTGGTGCTCTTTAGTATTTGACTTTAGGAAGATCTGATATTACTTTTGCAATTAATAAGATTTGTCAATATATGCATGATCCTAAGGAGAATAATTGGATAGCCATGAAACGTATTCTTCATTACTTAAAAATATATATGGAATATGGTTTGCATATTACTCGTTATAGCAACATCATCTTCTAGGGTTTCTTTGACTCTGATTAGACATAAAGCTTCAGAGATAAAAAGATAACTAAGGGGTTTTGCAATCTTTCCTAGTAATAATTTGATCTCATGAAATTCATCCAGACAAAAGATATTACCAAAGAGCTCAATAAAACTAGAGTATCAGCCTACTACTAATGCAGTAGCTGAGGTCTTATGAGAAGTCCTTACAGAGTTATGGATTCATTATCTACCGAACCAACCTCTTGGTGTGAAAATAGTAGGGCCACCTACTTAGTTGTTAATCTCACGTTTCATGTTCGAACAAACACATAAAATTAATTATTATTTTATTGGAGATAATATTGCTAAAGGGGAACTCTAAGTTAAGTTTGTGTTAAGTGATGATCAAGTAGTTGATGTGTTAACTAAACCACTATCTACAACCAGATTTTATTGTTAAAGTTAAAAGTACTATTATGTATGTAATATTACAAAGAAAAATTAATATTGTAACCTTTATGACCTGATCTACTATTAATTTATGGAGGAGTATTAACTAACAGTCTCAACTAGGATACAATTCTACTATCAGATTAGTTGAAAAAATAGAAAGCTGGTGTGAAGTGGAAATAAAATGTTGCAGTAGACTAGTATAAATAAGTCTTACTTAATCTCTTAGTCTTCCTCTCTAAAGTTGTACATGTATCCTAGTACTAATTTCTAGTCAAACGTGTAATTAAGTTATCTATACTAAACAGAATGTAATGAGAAATATAAATACAACTAAGTCACTACTATTAAATATACGGCAGAAGAACTAGATTCAAAATATTTTTTTTATTTTAATCAGTGTGGTATGTGCAAAGCAACTATTATTGTTGTAATAGTTAAAGCTATATTTAGGTAATATTACATAGGTTTTTCTATTGTTGAAGTTACAAGCTCTATTATGTATGTAATAACAATTATAATTGTCTTATTCATGATAAAAGATAGTATTATCATAGTTAAAATACGTTTGGAGTAGTTAATGAAATAGTTTTAACTTCACTCAAATGTAATATTATTTGAATAAAACATGACTATTTTATAGTAATTTTTTTATTAGAAATAAACTACAGTAATCATTCTTTGTAGTAATTTTAAAATACACTAGAAATGTCTATTGATTTAAAATAGCTCATGATCTACACTTCAAATACTATTCTTGAAATTTAGTTGATATATTTAATTTTTAAAATTCCTTTAGATGTTGGTTCTACCAAGAAAAATTATTTTTTATTGATTCTTTTTTAGATATTTTCATCTCACATTGGAGATAGGATTGACTCTATTTAGGATAAGAGCGATGAGGTTTAATCTCTTTTAACAAATGTGACTCCAAGATTTGAACCATGTACATTGGTAATAAATTCGTTTGGAGACCAGCTCACTTATCGCTAGACTAACAACTTGTTAATGAAATAATTCTTATTTTCAATATACACATGGCATAGTTATATTAATTACTTATATGAAGTTACTATAGAAAGCCACTATAAATTATAGGTAAATATAGATCATAGATAGATTAAAAATAGATAGAAATTGTCGATTATAGATCTCCTTGGTTTTGATTCTTGGTTGATTGTTTCATGTGCACAATGTAATTTGTTTTTCCATGAATAGATCTAATTTAAACATTTGTGGAAAGTTGTGTTGACCGTTGAAAACCTTGTATGACCTATTTTTTATTTTATTCACACATGCATGTGAAGCTAAATCAATATTCTTTACTCATTTTCTACTAATTACGTTGTTATTAGAGATTTGTGTCAGATTTTAATTCTTTTTTTCAAACTGAACTTAGGAATTAAAAAAAAATATAGTATCTGAGAAATTATTAACATGTTCTTCTTATTGTTAAAAAAAAAGAAGCATAAACACGTGGTTTGCCATGTATGGTTGCTTGTCCTGAAGATTTGCTTTTATTTATAAACCCTAGACCGCTACATTATATGTTCTAGTCGACTCCCGCCCAAACCGCAACTACTAGACAACTACTTCCAAGTTAACTCCTATTTCAGTCAAAGCCACTAGCTACTTTTGGCTCAATATCCTGTAACAAACGAATCAAATATGAAATTAAGTCCTGGTCGTTACACATAAAATACATGCTAAGCTACTCGTAGCCAGGGTAGCTTCCACTACCATAAGAAATTGTGCCAAAGGCAACTTGGTCAGCAGTAAATCTCTTCTTACTTTCACATCATTCTTTTACACCTTTGTGATATTATTACCAAGTGTATATATGTATAGTCCAAGCTTAAATATATTTTTATGTGGGGAGCAGAGCAAAAACTATATCATACTTAGAACCCTAGGCTTCGTGCGAATCTTGGCCACCAAGACAAAACCTCTTTGTTGCATGCATGGCGGCAGCAGACAGGCGCTGAGCACCAATATCTTCCGTTCCATGCGATCATATGCTTTTTTCCTAACACTTTGAAAGTAGGCCAACAAAAACTACTTTCAACTTTTCAATTCAACGGGCTGGACAATTTCGTGTTGTTTTGAGGTTCCCAATTGCATGTAACCACGTGTTAATATTTTATTAAGGAGCAAAAGTAAGTGTTGGAACCATAGCCTTGACTTGGGTTTGGAATTTGGACACTATAAAGGCTCTCGTCTTTGACATAATTTATCTCTTTCGTCGTTTAGAAACAAACACTCCCAAAAAAGAAAGGAAGACAAAAATGGTGTCCATAAGGCTTAATAGCTTTGTACTTGTGTTGATATTGCTACATTTAACTATTGTTCATACCCATCAAGGTACTCATTCTTTTCTTTTTGTCAGGTTTTTTTCTTAATAGCTAGATTGATCCGTTGTTGTGCTTAAATTAATGCTTGTTGTTGAACTTTTAGTAGATATGGAGAAAATCCAGGATGATTTGGATAATGAGCTCGAAGTGGCAGGGAATAGTTTTTTAAATGACAACAAGGTTGATATAATTAACCGTCTTCCATGGTTCTGAAAATATTTTATACTCCATATTTATTAAAGTTGTTATCCTGAACAAAAGTTTCTAAAGCAGGCAATGTACGATGGAGTTCTTGCCAGTGCTGGACTCGAAAACACAAGTTTCGGAGGAAGGAAAATGATGTTCGAAAGTCTTATGAGGAAAGAGATGATCAAACAAGGCTTAAATGAAGCAGAAAAAGAGAATTCAGGTGCAGTTCATTTTGTAGAGAATTGTGACCCTAACTATAGAGAGAAGGGAGCTTTGCATGTAAAATGTAGAATGAGTAGTAGGAAGCCTCTTCCTATGAAGAAAAATATGGTTCGTTTTACGGCATTCAACGCTGATTATAATGTGCCGAAATCACATCCACCAAGAAATAATTGAGGAAGAATTCCGAAGCCCCGAAAGAAAGCGCTATGTTATTTTTTTCAATTTTGGTTTCATGTTAATCATATTTCCTCATTATATATTTTGTACTGTTTTTAATGAATACAAGTGTGAAATATCCATTAAACGGAGATTAACAGTGAGCATAATTTCATAATTCCCTTTTGTTTAACTATCTTTATATTAATGGCAAAGTCATGAGTTATTTTGTTTTGCATGTAATGTGCGTATATAAGAATTAGTTGTGCTAGTTACAGAGTGAGCAATAAAGAAGAAAGGGGCAGGTGATTATGTTTCATCTATTTAAAATATTAATTTGGATGCATGAAAGGATATATAGTTCAATAAAGCAATCTGGAAACCCAAAATAGCACATCAAAGACCAGGTTTATCTATCTAAAATTAATTAATGAGCATGTATCTAAGATCACTATCAATTTTTTCTCTGAATATTTCCTACTGACTTAATGTTTCTTCAACTAGAATAAAAATAGGAAGCTGAAGGCAGTGAACTCAGGAATCTAGAAAGCTTACCAAAGGGTTATTTGATCTCATGGGCACTCGTCGATGAAATTTTCACGTACAATCTTTTATTGGCTCAATCGAAACGAGTGTCAAAGTACATAAATCCTCTAATGAGATAACCGTGATGACTTCAAGTCCAAGAAATAGTTGTACCCATCTTGTGTGAGATTTTCATAGACAAAATCAAATGGGTCCTCATGGCCGATCAAGTCCAGTGATATATTCTCTAACACAAATCACTTAAGTGCTTGCTTTGGCATCACCGTGCTAATAGGTTTGAGCATATAGTCAATGTTCATTCTTGACAATGGTATGACTTGAGATATTCAATGATATCCTTTATGTGCATTAATATTTTTATCACATCTTTCGATTAATCACTAATGCAAATGTATATCATATGAACTTCTATCTAATTCTATTCAATACACAAATATAAATGATAAGAATTAATAGAAAATTTTTTTTATTATTAATAAAATAAATAATGTAATGATACAATAACTCAAAACTATCCAAATATGGCTGGATCTTAAGAATTTATACTAACGAGTTACTATATGAAAATTATTTGATTAATAATAATTATATATTTTGAACATAGTGTAACTCCCATAAACATAACATAAATACTAAAAGACTCAAATGATCTAAATAAATACATAATTTTGGTATTGTCAATTTGGGCATATAAACAAGAATCTATTATCCAATGGATACCTAGAATCATTTGATGATGACTATGAATCTTGTTGACTCGGCAAAATGACATGAATCCCCTTTTAGTAGAAAATGAGAAAAGGCTACCAACTAGTTAAGGCCTTACACATAGAGATGTATTTGAACTCATCTTCACCCAAGTAAGAGGAGGACATGATTAACACACAATCTTTATTGATAGCATATCATGTTTTGGTTATAAGACACAAGTTCAAAGCATTTCAAAAGTTCAAAGAACTTAGACTTAAAGTCAAGTAACAAACTAGCAAAAGTATTAAGATATTTCAATTATATCGAGGTGATAGTTAGTGTAGATGCCCAAGATCCAACCATATTTGGATTAGCTTGAGTTAATGTATTATTGCATCTTTTATTTTAATAATAATAAAGAAGTCGTTCTATTAATTTTTGTGTTTTATGTTTACAAATTCGAGTGGAATTAGATAGAAGTCCGTATGATATGCATTTACAATAGTGATTGATCAAAAAATATGAGACAAACACTAATGCATATATTTGATATCATTAAACATCCCAAGTCATAGCATTGTCAATAATGGACATTGACTATATGCGGATAGACTTGTGATTGCTATACTCATGCTATATGATAGCAGTAGGAGATCTCACACTTATTGGCACCTATTGGCATGGTAATGCCAAAGTAAGCACTTAATTAGATGATTTGTGTTAAAGAATATATCACCGGATTTGACTCGCCATGAGAACCTATTTGGTTTTATTCTATGGAAATCTCATACAAGATGGGAACAAATGATCTTTAGACTTGAAGTCATCACGGTTGTCTCATTAGAGTACTTATGCACTTTGACACTTGTTTCGATGGACCCATTGAAGGATTGCACGTAGGCAATTTGTTGGGTGCACTCGGAATCTAATGGAGATAAGTGTATAACTTAGATAGGATATGTCATTCCTTATATGCTAAAGGAGGTATCATCTTACACTTCGATAAATATCTCGCTAAGGAATCTGTGGCCATAGTAGGAGTACACCAATAAAGCATAGTTAGTTTACTCTAAGAGTTAAGATATTTAGGAATTGAAGAAAACTTATGTGATCATAATCTAACAAGACTTATAACCAAGTTCAAGATCACATTATAATAAGTTGACATGAGAACTGAATTGTATGGTAACCATGTGCGTGAAAGGTAATAATAGATTAATTAATCCTCCTAGAGAATTAGGTAATCATGATGCCTTGTTAGAGGTCAATATTGATTTAGGTATCAAGAGATAAAAGATGAGTCTTTTGTTCTTGATACATTGCCAATATATCTAGGAGCCTATTGAGTCACATGCATAAGTTTAAGTATTCACATGATAAATGAGAAACAAAGATATTGGAAAAGGTTTCCAATTTTGAAAGTTTTTGCTTTGAAAAGGGTTCCCAAAATGGAAAGTTTCCTTAATTAGGAAGTTTCCTAAAATGAAAATTTTTCTATTTTAGAAATTAGTTTCCTAATTTAGAAGTTAGTTCCAAATTTAAAAATAAATAACCTAAAGTGAAAATGAGTTTCCTAATTTAGGTTAAAGGGTGTTTTGGGAAATTGCTTTCCAAATGTGGATCTGTCGAAAATAATTTAAAATTATTTATTTGGATAGTTCAAAATAAATTAATTGGGCTAGAATGGTTTTGGCAATTAGGTTTAATTAAAAACCCTAAGATATTTTGGTGGAAGGATAAATATCAACCTTATTGGATAAGGATTAATGTTTTAAAGATAAAGAATAAAAGTCCATACGTAAAATAACTCATAATCCTTAGAGGATAAGGAAGCATAAACCTAGGATCCTTAAAGGACTTATTGTCATCCCTCTTCTTGTCCTTGGAGGATAAAGAAATTGTCATATAAATATATATGAGAGAGAGAGGTACGACAAGTTAAGAAAAAAAGAGAAAAAGAGAGGAAATTCTACCAAAATTAAAAAGGCCATTAGGGCACACAATAAACACCAAAAAGAAATAGAGAAAATAGTTTTCTCTAAAAACCCTAAGCACGCTACACTCTCCTCTCTTTTAAGGTCTGTAGTAAAATTTTTTGGAATAAATTTCTATATAAAATAATACATAAATTAGAAAAGGTGGAGCTAGCACCCTATCGATTTTGAGTGCTTCTTTATGGGTACTTAGATCGTGTGGATTATTAATAGAGATCGGACACTTGGATGACATTTTTGCTAAAAGAACTTAGATTTGTGCTACAAGAGGTCATTTTTTATTTATTGCTTTAAATTCATGCATGTATGGTTAGTATATTCAACGGCTTGATTTTAGGCCCTTAAATGGAGGAAAATTTTTGTTTATTCCACACATTCATAGGATGCATGATCCTTCAATTGGTATCGAGCCTTCGTTGAATCTTTGATTGTATGATTCGTTAATTATGACTAAATGCATGAATTAGCCATGCTTGATTATAAATCTTGAGCTTTTGGCATTTTATATTTTTTTAAAACTGAATTTTTGAGTTAAAATCGGTGGGGGCATATAAGGTTGACTTGGACATCGACACTCATGCACACAATGACCCCATTAGCTGGTCGTGTGTTGGGTGCGCAAGTTAGGTGTTACGTGTCAAGCGAGCACACGTTAGGCACCTCTCGTGCCGAGCCGCACATCGGGCGCGTAGGCCGGGCACCACGCTAAACGTGTATGCCAAGCACTCGCATGATGGGCCATGCACTAGGCGCGCGAGCCAAGCGGCGTACCGGGTCATATGCTAGGCGCATAGGTAGGCATTGTATGCTAAGCGAGCACACGATAAGCATCCGCATGCTAGGTCGTGCACTAGGCGGGTAGGTTAAGCGGTGTGCTGGGTAGTTTAGGTCGTGCACGTAGGCTAGGCGAGCGAGCCACTAGCCGAGTGCTCTCATGCCAGTCGTTGATCGTAGGCGAGTGTGTATGAGCACTCCAAGCCAAGGGTTTGAGCCCTCGTGGCCAAAAAGTCCATGGACCCAAAGTGGGCCTAAGGCCCAAAATGCTTTTAAAATTAAAATTTAAATAAATTTTGATAAATTTATAAAATGACCAAAACCATAGATTTATAATTATTTTATGAATGAAATATGTTTCATTAGTATCTCATGTATCAATGTGATTGAAGTATGGATGAATGGTATGGATAAGTCAACCTAGTTTATAAGTGAATGCTTGTAATTTTTTAGATAAATAGGACTCGTTTATCCTACGTTCTCCATTATTTTATTTTATTTCTCTTCTCATCTTACTCCCCTCAAACGTAACTCAAGGTTTCTTATTTCAAATAAATGTAAAAGTAGAATAGAAGAATTAGAATAGATGCAAGGAGAAGACACCGAGGAATGAAGACATTTATGAAGAATTTATAATAATTTTTCACCTAGGAATTGACCCACTAGTCTCCTTATGGCTCAATGGGCTAGTACTAGAAATCTATTACCATTCATCGATCTTTGAATCATGCATGAGATATATGTATATATGTTATGAGATTAATATTAGTATGCATGTTATGAATAATATAATTGTTGTTTAGTATGTATTCTAGGATGAGACCAACAATATTAAATCCTTTAAATAAAATATTAAGTTAATTGCTTTCCAACGTTATGAAGAGGGAACTCTCTTGGTCGTTGTTGGCTTATTGAGATAACGCAAGGTCACTTCTTCCTCAAGGAAAACATACTATGTCCTTGAACGTTGGGTCTAACTTAAATGAGTTATTGGGTTTGTTGATATAACTCAAG